ATACACTCCAGACATACCCACATAGACAGTTAACACACACACATATACATAATTACATAACAATAACATATAAAAATATTGGAGAATATGTTCTGCTGAGTTTCTGAATTCGATTGGTATTTAACCCCAACTGAGCTCAAAGGGAAAAGTGAAAGCAAGTAAAACTAACAAACACTATTCAACTTGTAGTCTTAAGATTCATGGGTGAAAATTTCTCAACTACTCCTCGGATTTCAGTCAAGTGGAATTTTCGCGTGGAAATTTTTGAGATGATGTGAAAGGGATTCTGAGAATTTTTTTGAAAAATTTTAATTTTTCAGGTTTTTATAAGCAATTACAGTTTTAAGCAATCTTTTTTACAAAACTCATTTTCTCTTAAAATATTTGAGGAAAGTTGATGAAATTTAGTTTTTAAGCGTAGTGGCGTTAGAGCTTTAGAAAAAAAAATTTGTATAATTAGGAATTTTTTTTTTAATTTAAACATAAAAATTCAAGTTGCATTAAAAAAATGTTCTCAATGAGTGTTTTCCATTTCGTTTATATTTTCGAAAACTGCATTTATTGAAGAAAATATTTCTAAAAAAAAATCTTTAGATCTTTCCTGTTTATTACTTACAGCAACATTTGTTACAGAGCGCACGCAAGGTGAACCATGCACGCTCACCGCCTATGCGCGAAACGTGTTCACTAGAAAGCGCGTACAGGAGCATCTAGCCATAGGCTCATATTTCCGACTTTTAACTTAACTTCATATAATAATGATGGCATGTATGGTATTTTTAAGGAATTTTTAGGTTAAGCATCGGAGGTATGTGTTAAAATAATCTCATTAATTAAATTTTTTTTTGAGTTCACACAACATTATTACCAGGGAACGGATTTTTAGGACCTAAAAACCTATAAAAAAGGGAAAATAGGCAGAAAAGGCCCTATAAGGCAAAATAAGGGACTAAATAAAGACAAAAACCGAAAAATAATTAAAAAATACATCTATTTTAGAAATGTTTATTTTACAAGTAAAAAGAGAAAAACATAGTTTCATACATAGTTTCATTATACTTTGAATCTTTGACTATTTTCTCCATTTGAGTTTTTAACTCGCAAAACTTTAAT